CATGTACAAACACATCACCTATATATTCTTCTCTCTCGGGCTGCTCGTTTTTTCTTTCGTCAACTTATGCAACACTTTAAATGCCCGTCGACACTCTTCGGCGCGTCTCGCTCGATCGACGCTCGGCTTTTGAGTTCTTTTCTACCGCCGCTGACGCGTGTTGACTTACGCTCGCAACGTCCGCTTATTCCGATCCGCAATTCCGCCGAGTGAAGGCTCATTGGAGCGTTTCGGTTTGGAGCTCTTGACGAGTGCCAGCTATCGAAATCTCTATCGACGCGTCCGCGAAAACAACTCGCAACATTCTTCTAAAAGTCAGTTCGTTTCGTGCGAATATTCATTGTAATTTCCTAAAGAAACTTTTTGGGCTTGCTTATTGTTTTCTTGGAAGATACTGCCAGTGTTGGTTAACCGATTGTGATAACATTCTTCGAGGTGAACGTAAACTAAACAATGAAGGTATTGACAAGAAAAGGTCGAACAGTTGGTAAATCGCATCGGCTTGTGATCTGATTATCAACGACTCTACCATTGGTTTTCGGTAATCCCAACAACCGGCCCGTAAAAAAATACACGCTTCCAACGAAATGTTGAAAAAGGAAACAATAAAATAGGCAGTCGTGGACGTGATTGCGCAAGCAAATGACTCGAAATCGAAAGGGGCGCGCTGTTCGATTGCGCCGCTCGCATGAAATTGACGTAGTGCGCCACTCAAAGCGCACTCGAGGGGAGAGATTCCGCTGGAGCGCTGCTCCGCGAATCGATTCAGCCCTCGATACGGCTCACCTTCGCAGCCGTTCACTCGGAAGCCACGAGGACGAAAGAAAAAAAGAGCTTGCTCGGCGCGCTTGCCGGTAATTAGCGCGATTGTTCTCAAAGGATCGCGCGGCGACGTGCGTCAGCGGAGGCAGGAAAGAGTCGCGCCGCGCGGCGTGTTATTTATACCTTGGTCGCGCGATGCGTTTTATTTAGAGGCGCGCGCACGGCCGCCGCCGCCATCCTCGGAGCTTCCTGCTTCGGATTCCTACGAGGGCTCGTTCGGTTACATCAGCCCGCTCGGCGTCTCGCGTTCCATTTAGCCGGGTGACGGATCGCCACCGTGGTGCTGCTGCTCGCTTAAGCGCGCACCACGGAAAATATTATCGGCCAGCCGTGGTCCGGCGACAGGCCGAAAACACACATCAAAAGGTCAGCGTCTTATTGCATTCCCGCGCCGCGCGCCAGCTCTTTCTCCAGACACTCGGCTGCAGGCTCGCAAGAGCGCCAGACAGACTCGGCGCGCGCACGCAGAGCCTAAACTCCGCTCTGGCCGAATGCCAGGCGAAACCTTTTTCCTTCCCCGCTTCCATCCGCCCTCCCCTTTCCGTCTTATTTGCCAAATCCCCACGCGAAATAGAGTCACTCTCTTGCATTGTAATGACGTCAGTCGGCGCGCAGCAGCGGCAACACAACAGCGGGCTTTCTTTCATTTTCTCTCTCAGGGTTGCTGCTGGCTGCTGCTCTTTTTTCCGTCGCGAGGGGGCGGACGAAAGCGGAGCTTACGTAATTTTGCGCGTATGTCTCTCTCTCTCTCTCTCTCTCTCTCTCTCGTTGTTGCGTGTTTTTTTTTCCTTTTCGTTTTGTTTTGCGCGCTCGTCTTTCGCAAAGTGCACGCGCGTGGTCGGGATGGAAATGCGCGCGCGCGCGGCGAGCTTTTTGCAAACTTTTTGCCTGTTTTTCTCTCTTTATTGTTGTCTTTCTGCCGACGTTTGCTAGCTGCGCTATATGAATGGACTTTACGTGACAATGTCGGCTAATGGCCCGCGGATTTAATGACACGCTGTGTGCACGGGAATACGAGTACGCAGCGCAGAGGCTTAAAGCGTTGAGATTAGTTTGCGAGAAACTCGATTCAAAATTGTAGTGATTAAGCGCTGTGCTATGTCTGGGACAGCCGTGTGACTTTCAAAGGAAAAAAGAATTTGACGTTCAATCTGCGCTCGTTGAGGTCTCAATTGGAATGAATGTCGCGTGTCGATGACATAGAAATATCGTTTGCGTTTGTATCGAGTATGAATCGGTCGGTCGTGTAAATTTCTGCCGACTCAACATCGCGCGGTCCCGTGAACTGCAGTCCAGCAAATGTGCCACTCAAACTCGCGAGCGTTGCGCATTAAATCGACGTCCGCCAATTCGACAGGCCGAGCTTTCTTGTTTTCGGGCAGTCGTTAGGGTCGAGCGCGGGGCTAAAAACGTGGGCAGCACAGCAGGGGCAGCGCCGTCCAAATGAATAATTCGCGCAGTTGAGAATCAAATGGTTCCAGCCAAGCGCGCTCTTCGGCAATTCGTGGTCGTAAGAGCAGTGCTTTACATCTATCGAATTGCTCGTGTACGGCTGCCGCCAGACTGTGCCCTCGCTATTCGGCGCACGTTGCCTCCCCGACTCCGGCGCGCTCGTCAATGGCCAACGGCTAATCATCCAAAGCGATTACTCGCGCTTCCAAGGTAGCCCGAATGCACGCTCGATAGATCCTCGATGCGCGAATATCATTGCTCGCTGCGGCAGAAGCTCCCGATGGCCAGACGGGGATTTTAATTAGCTCGAGCGATCAATTAAGCGCATAGCTGCTTGATGAAAGCTCGGCTGGATTTTATGGGCGATATATTCGCCGAGTTATGTTGGGTTTTATTGGACGAGCCAGACAATGGCTCCGCGCGCACTTTTGCTCTCGCGCGCGCCGTCGGAATTCATTATTCAGTTGGCGCGCGCGAGTACGAAGGTGATGCATCGCGATTCCTCGAGGAACATTTCAAGGCGATAACGCAACTCGCGGGAGAAGGGCGTCCCGGTCGCAGCCGCGCGCAGCCGCGCGCAGCCGAGCGCAGCCGAGGAAATCGCTTTCCCGATGAGAATCCGCTCGAGAAACGGCGGCGACGACAGGGCCGAGAGAAGAAGAAGAGAGAAAGTCTCGCTTCGAGCGCGCGACGCGTCCGAGCTCGACCCGATTCTCGGCGGCCGGCGCGCCGCGCCGCGCCGGAAAGCCTAGCTCTCCTCGCGTTCGCGCCCGGTGCGAGTCTGTTTAGTCTCCATCGATTGCTCGCGGCGGCCAACGGGGTGGCGCGTCTCTCTATTTCGAGGCAGTGGTTCGGCGGCTATTTAAATAGAAAAATGGCGTCGTAAATATAGCGAGCGCTCGTTAAATTTGCAGGTGGAAAGAAAAGACGAGTTGCGGAGAGCGAGAAAACGTAGGCGCGAGAGAGCCATCACTCAGCATCGACTTTCCTATCCAAAATAAATCTGGCGTCAGAGCTAAATAAATCAGTCAGTCGCCTTGCTCTACCTACGTACTCGGACGGACGCACGCGGACGGCCTAACGCTTTAACAATGTGCTCGCGAAGCCGTATTCATAAATTGGCGTTCGGCAAATGAAAAATCTCTCCCTGTTCGCGAGCTGATGTATCGGTCGCGGTGGCGCGCGCAGGGAAACAGAGAGGGCGCGAACGCACGGCGAAATAAAAAGAGTAGACAAAGTGCATTTGCAGAGGCTTTTAAGGCTGTCGCCCGGTTGGCGCTTCTCGAACGTTTACGTCCACCATGAATTTATGGACGCGAGGCGATATTCGAGCCCAGAGAGAGAGAGAGAGAGAGAGAGAGAGAGAGAGAGAACGATCCTCGTGAATAATGCGCGGATCTGGGTCGCGAGAGAGGCCGGCTCGGGGGAACGGATTATTTTCGAGAGACCCCCTCGCCCCAAAGCCGCTCCTTTTCCGCCAAATCAAGCACTGTCGACAACCACCCCCGTCGCGCTCATTCCCATTGCCCGTTTTCTTTCTCTCTTTTTTTCTTTGCCTTTTTGTTGACTCTTGTTGGCTTCCGCACTAACGATCGTCGTTACGCTCGGGTCGATCGGACGCGGATTTTTATTCCTTTGTCCCGGCGATGTGGCGCGGCGTTTATGCGATGAAACAAGGAAAGAGCTGGCTCGAAATTGAAATGTCGCGCGGGACAGTCGGGAGCACTTGGAAAATCCAGCGGGGTACGTTGGCAGCGCGCGCTAAATCGTGAATAAGTTACGAACGATAGCTCGGCGACCGAGCGCCGGCTGTTAATGATTTGGCGATAAATCAGCGGGGGGGGGCTTCGTTCTTCAACCGCTATTAAGCGTAATAAAGCTCGTTGAAAAGCCCGGAGCGATTGGCGGCGGCTCTCGGGCTAACTCGATCGATGCATCGACGTTAAAGTTCGCGCGCGCAATCATAAAATGATCGAATCACACGGGCCCCCGCGCTCTCTCCCCTCGGCTCGGCGCGGAGGCCAACTCAATAAAGCGACAATTTGGCGCTGCGCGCTCCGCGTTTCCTTCCGCGTTCAGCCGCGTCGGCGCTCAAGACAAAGCGCGCGTGCCTTTCGCCTCGGTCAATTAGCGCTGCGCAGCGCTGCTTTCAAGTGGGCGAAACTTTGCGCGCATCGCGAGAGGCCGCGCGATCACTTTCTATTCGACTCGCCGAATAGTTTCTAATATCACGTGGACGGGCGTATTTCGGCACGCGAATATCGCCCACGCGGATGGAATTTGCCCGATGAAATTGCCGATATCTACGTACGTACATGAGCGCGCGCGCACCGGCTCAGTTCACACCGCGTTCAACGGAATATCCACGCGACGATGGGTTTCCCTCTCGCGCATTAATATGTATTTTAATTCCAGAGGCCAAGTCCCGAATCGTGTATTTTTATTCGATACCCAAGTGCTCGCTCAATGTAGATTCCGCACCATTATTCGCTGCTAAGGGCCGCGCTAGAATATTTGAGCGGCCTGTACATCCCAATACCTCTTGCTCCTTTTACTCGACCGTTGCGCTTACTTGATGGCTACTTTTGCACCAGTATTACGTAATAAATTAGGGGTATCGCAGCGACAAGTGCAATCATCGTACCACCGACATATCCACACTTTACGACGAGCTGTCCACGGCAAATAAAGTGCCAAGTGTCTCTGTTAAGGAAAGCCATACTCACGACTTCGGTTCTCGCTGTCGGCCGGCTTCATCTGTATAGGATGCAGCTTCTGAAATCAGAAAACAGAGAAGAGCATTACTCGAACGTGGGCGCGCGTACGCTTGTGGCAGCTATGTCGTTCGGAGGCGCGCGGCAATCGGTGCGGGCTCCGAGTGCTCTTCGCCGGATCGAATTCGCGTACAGGCCGGCCGCATGTAAGATCCATATCGCTCGTTATCGCTCGCCGCTACTGGCCGAGTATCGAGTGGCTATATTATCGAGTATGCGGCGAGCGCCCGCAGGACAACGGCGACGACGACGACGGCGACTATCGCTGGATAATTCATGCGTCACCGTGGCCCCGCTCGGCCGGACGTCCGTCGAGCTTCGGCCACTGCGGCGGCGGCGGCGGCGGCGGCTGCTGCTGCTGCTGCTGGCCGCAGGACAGACCGCCGCCGGGCTATTTACGACAGCCACTTTTGAATGCTCCTCTGTTTCGGCTGCGAGGCCTCGTTGTCTCGCTCGCCGCGAGCGAGGATATTGACTGCGGGGATAGCCAGCAAACTTCGCGCCAGCTGCACTTTTTTCGGACTCCAGCTTTCACGATTTGCATGAAACTTGGGTTAAATTATTCGAGGCAGTAGAGACTGCGTTGCTATTGGAAAAATCGATGGTGGACAGTAAAAAAGCAGAAGAGGGACGTCGAAGCAAAGTAAAGTCCAGTAATAGTGACCCAAAAGACGTGAAAAGTCCATTTTGCCGTGACGGGCACATCATAAAAGCCGCCTGTCATCATCCTCACGTGCAGCAGCAGCAGCAGCAGCAGCAGCAGCATCGAGTACATTCCCAACCACCACTAAAACTTGGTAGGCAGGCGGCTCGAAAGGATCGTTAAGAGACAGATTTGCCACGTAAAAAATGAAAAAAAGGAAAAAGGTACTTCGCATGCGGCGTAGAAAATCAATACGGCATTCGTCCGCTCGCTCGCACTCTCTTTCTCTCTCACTGTCGAACGCACACGGATTCATTTCACGCGCGAAGCACGTCGCGAGAAAAGGAAAACGAACGAGTCCCTCGCGTAAAAATCTGCATGCCACTCTCTCACTCTCTCTCTCATTCTTTCTCTGCGCCCTTCGGTCACGTGCAAGCATAAATTTTTTATGGCTGCGCGTCAGATGAGAGGGGGCATCTTTTTTTTTTCGACAGTGCACTTAGGTATGGTACTCATTAACCTTCGACAATGAACGTCTTTCAGTCGCCTACTCGCCGAATAAGTCGATTACGCAAGTACAATGACGCCCCTTTACTCTCGGAACCCGCGATGACGACGTGCCTGCAAATTAATCGCGCGTGGGCTATTAGTTTTCGCCCCGCGTGCCTTTGACTATTCACGTTTACTCGGCGGTCACCAACTTGACTGTTGAACTTGACTGCGCGTTGATTATTCGACTCGCTTGCAATACTGCCAGAAACTTTTCTTTTCTAACCGTAACTGTTGTGATTTTAATCAGTGTGGTATACTCGTGCTTTTGTGTATTCTAACAAAAGATAATTTTTTTTTATTTCTTTATATTTCTATGGCCATATAACACAGATATCTCGCAAAAAATCGTAAGAGCTTAAAAAGTAAAATCACGAAGAGGAACTTTTCTATTGAATTTAGCTCTACTTTGTGCAACTGATATTTTAGTATGAATGTGAGAGGCCCTTCGTTAAATATATAATATTCCGATTGAAACACAGGCTCGTAAAAAATCAGATATTAATCATTTTTGGGCAAGAGATTCGTTCATTCCTCGTTAAAACCTTCCCGAAACCTCGAACTTTATTATTGTATTATGTTGTATTCGAGCGCCATAAAACACCGCTAATCCGGCCTGGGGTCGCGGGTGTGTTTTCGCAGCCAAATAAATGTCAAAGAAGAGTGAGAGAGGAGGGGTAAAAAAAAATATTCGTCGCATAAACAATGAATCTTTCGGGGAAATAATTCTCGGGCATGTCACATTGATCAAGCGCGCCGCATAAAATGAGAAAGCACATCGAAAAAGCTACGGTGCAGCCATAAAAAAGCCATAACCCAACCGACTCCCCTGCCTCTCCCCACCTTCCCCAAAAAAGGAAGAAAAATGAAGCGAGAGAGAGAGAGAGAGGCTTGTTTCCCGCTCGGGCATTTTCCGGCAGGCTGCAGCAGCCGCACAGACACAGGCTTGGGCCGCGGAATCGGAGCGGAAGTCGCGCGATCCATTTCCCGCGCGCGCGCGCTCTCTCCCCGGTCCATCGGGCGCGCACACGTATATCTCAGGCACGAGAGGCAGAATCGATTCGGCTCTCTGCACAGATGAAAAAATTGCGTGCCTCGGAAAATCCGATTCCCCGTCGCCGCCGCCGCCACCGCTGCTGCTTGGCTTCTTGCCTTGCGATCTTCTTTGTTTTTTTCTGTGTGTGTGTGTATCTTGATTTTTATGACTTTTGTTTGTTTTCGCGTGCAACGGAAAATTGGGAGCGTGAGCGTGGACGCAAAACTTACGAGGCGCGCGCGAGATTCGCTAACGCCCCCGTAAATCGGAGGTTAGCGTAAATTTTCGGCGCGCCGATGGGATTGAGCAAGAGCGCGTGTGCGCGAAGCAGATTGGAAAAGGAGATACAACTTGGCAGAGCGCGCGGCGATTTGTAGGGCAGCTCGTAAACAATTATAGTATCAAAAGCTCTCGGGTGCAAGCGACTTATCGCGCGCTCTCTTGCGCGCTCCACGGCCGTCCGTTAATTAGCCACCGCTCCGTCCGCGTTATGGCGAATTATGACGCTCTCCAGACAGATCATCGCTCGCTCACGGCGCGCAGCGGGCTTTTCTGCGTTCCTCGTCACGTGCGCGGCGCGCCTGACGATCGGCGCAGCGATAACGAGGACCGTGTCGAGCTCATTTCGAAACCGAGTGAAATATAGCGCTTTTCGCCGCTCCGCACTCCATCGTCAATTTCAAATGCGCTTTCGCGATAATCTTTCGATAAGTTAAAAATATGGTCGGCCGCCGCAGGCGAGTCATCGTCGCGGTTCGATAAATCGACGTGATATTTCGAATTTGGCGCGCAAGCTCAGCTCCACAATCACATCGCTTAGCACCACTTCAATCCATTAGGTCGATTCCAATTTTCACGTGGCTACATCCATCGCGCTACTAATTAATATTAATTGCGAGCTGTAATGTAAAGATGGCGAGGAAACTGTGGGAGGAGTGCGAGAGCATGGTCGGGACAAGGTAATGGGGAGGGAGAGAGAGAGAGAGAGCCATAAGTCTGCCTCTCGGCATGGCGAGAAAGAAAGATGTAATTTTGCGATCGAGTCAACGCGCGGCTGCTGGCCGGAGAGACGCGACGTCACCGGCAGCTGCGCCGGCGATATTTCGTGCCACGCACGCCCGAGCCAAGCGAAATGAGACTCTGGCTTCCACTGTTGGTGAATGGAGTGCGCGCATTACGCATCAGCGTCCTTTGATTTATCGCGCCCGAATATTAATCCTCAATGTCGGCTGCTCGCTAATGACGGTCCAATAGCGGTCGCCGCGTCGCCGCCCCCCCCCTCTCTTTTTTCTCTTTCGTGGCGCGCAACGCCGACACGGACTGGATGTAGGACGAGCGACGGAGATTCTCCCGCTGATTTATTTTGGGCCGAGAGAGACGCGTCAGGCTGCGCCGCTCGCCAGACCGATCTTTCAGGTGCAGCTTTCCTGGTGAATGACGTCCATCTCTCGCACGCGTGCGATCACTTGCGCGTCCACATATTGTTCTAAAGTCCTATCGACTGAGTTGTAATCGGAAGATACCAGTCATATACTTTTCCGCGATTATTTACGTCGAATCCTTGAATAAGCTTTTCTCTCTCTTTTCTTCTTCTCTGCTTTCTTCGTTACCCGACGGCCTACTTTGTAAAGATAATATAATAACGGACAGTCAATTGATAAATATTGTTTCCAGCTAATTATCAAGCAATCGGCACATCGGAGATGCATTGTTTTTTTTTCGTTTCGAAACTCGCGCTTGTCGCAATCGGGCGAGCAGAGCTGCGAATCATTACAAAATTGAATACAAAAGGAATGTTTATAAATGCAGACTCGACTCTTCGTGAGATCGAAACAGGCGGTTACCCAACGACAAATTACGTTGCACAACGCTACTCTGCGGAACTTCGTCAAAAGCCATTGCTTTCGCACGAGAAAAGAAGAAACACTAAAGCGCTGGAAGAGGGGCGGGGGGGGGGGGGCGCTTTATCAACCCTCATTAAACTTTGCCTTTACCGGAGAGAGAAAGAGAGAGAGAGAGAGTGAGTATTTTTTGAACAAAAAAAGGGGTCGAGCAATGCAAGAACAATGTAGTAGCTGGCATCGCGTAATGAACAGCTCGAGAGTGCTTGCGTGCGCACTGCTATATCGGGAGGGTAAAGGCAGCAAAAGCTGTCTCTCGTCGCATGCACGCAGTGAGCGAGAAAGAGAGAGAGAGGGAAAGAGAGATGCATCGGCCAGTATTTTAAGCTCCGCTCATTGTAATGCCGCGTTGGTTATCTGGGTCGAGTCTCCACGCTGCGAACTGCTAAGCGATTTTTCAGTCTTTGATCCGCTGCGCGCGCGCACACAAAGCGGAGAATCTGTTTAGGGGCTTGCCGATAATAATTACACGTTAGCTCAGGCGTCTAATGAGATTCCAACGGCGGTGGAGCATGGCTGCATGCCTATCGGCCGCACAAGTGCGTAATGCGTGTTACCAGCGTGCTCAATCGGATCACGGGCCCTTTGATTGGCCCCTCCGAGTGCCCTTTTCGAGTGCACCGCGCACTTACTTTAATTAAGCCGCCTTCCGCCCGCTCTCCGCGCGCTCGGTCGATCAATTGCCACGCGACGCGTGCGATTTCCGAGAGTCCGCCGCGCGCCGGCGAGCATTTATTAAACAGCCGCATTGTCCCGGGAATCGCGTTGCCGTAAGCGACGGCTCATTCGCGGAAATTTATACAGACGTAGCGGACGACCAGGCCGGTCGTTTCGATAATATCATACGCGAGCGAAGCTACACGATTGCCTTGTGCGCCGTCGGGCTAACGTAACCCGCGCTGCTCGATGTCGTCGGCCGCCGATTTCACGTGAATTCAAGCAATAACCGCTCGTTTGCTTCTTACCGCGCGTACGCCCCTCTCTCTCTCTCTCTCTCTTTTCTTTTTTTCTGTTTTGTCTCCCTTTGTTCGCTCGTTCGTTGACATCGCTCGACGCCAATGCAGAACTCGGTTATGATAGCGTGCAGAGCCTTTGATGCGTGATTCTTTTTCCACTAGCAGGGAATTACGATTTATTGCACTGAATTAAAACGGAATGAAAGAAAGAAGCCGTTTCAAATTCAAAATTAATTAATTTACAAGGATAATTTGTTAGGTTTCGAAGGGACAATCGCGAGAGGTTCGTTACATCGAGGTTTGTTCAATGAGCGTAGAGAAAAAAACCAGTGCATCGTCAAAATTAGTATTTTCTTGCGCAAGTATTGGCGACAAATAAAAGAAGGGAACTGCACATCGCTGCACTGCATGTTCACCGTGAAAGCGACGCCATTGGCTGCGGCTCCCTCGTGGCTTGCTGCGACGAGGCGCAAAGTGAAAGCCTCCGAATGAAAAATAGAACGGATCGGTGTCGCTTGCGTAGCGCAGGGTGATTTATGACATGTGCCAAAATCGAAGATCGAGTGGGAAAGCGGATAAATCTGCGCTGTCGCGGCCCTCCTCCTCTGGCCTTTCTCTCCGGCTGCGCGGAGCACAATCCGATATGCGCGAAGGGAGCGCGAGAAAAGCTAAATCGTTCCCCGTTTCGATTTTCTTGAATAAAATGAAAGGGAGAACGGGGCGAGAGCGCAGTCGAGAGAAATAAGTCGTTAGCGCGACGGTGCAAGTCGCTGCGGCTACCGCCGGCAGTGGCGGCGTCGCGCGGCCAACTAGCGAAACTCGTCTGCCAACGGAGCGCATTGTGCGTGTCGAACGCTCGACAGATATATCAGTTTAGAGGAGAGAAGCTTCAACTCTCCCGGCGTGAGGAGACTTTAAGCCAGTTGGCTGACCGTGAGCTAGTGGCGCGCTCTCTCCCCCTCTTTCGTCCCATCTCGCCAAAGCTTGTAGAGCTCGGATCTACGCGGCCGTGCGAGATCAAGCTTTATCACCGAAATTATATGTTTACGACACCTTTGCACTTTTCTTTCTTTTACGTTTCTGGCACGTCTCGTTGTCGACGCTCAGCACTTGATAAAGCTTGCCATCTTGTAAACCGTTAAAATAACGAATTCTGCTCGCACGGTTTTCCACTAAAAAGTAGCTAGGCTCGGATTATTTTAAAACTTTTGAGAAAGCCTTTTTCTCTTTTTTTTCAATCGCATCTAATCTGATCATTTGGAAATCCAATAAAACCAAAATAACGTTGCTGTAGGCAGAAATCAGGAGCATTAATTAATAATGACGAAAGCGCGTAGCAGCTCGAAGCCTATCGAACGACACCATCGCAATTTGGCGCCCGTTAAAAGGTCTAAGGAAACTTTGTTCCAACGAAGAATCAAGAAGTCAATGGGCGAGTAGTTGGTCGAGACGGTGCAGCCGTGCCCGTTCGAGCAGTCTAGCGTCGTAACAGTAGTGTAAAGAGCGGCGATGCGCCATGCTAACGAGTCCGCACTGCAGCGGCAAAGGCGATAATTACGCGAGGGCGTCGATCGACAAAGGGCGAAGCCTCGTGTAATTGCCGCCGTTAATCGCTCGCAAGTTAGGACGGTAAATGTTAACGAGAAACTTACCCCGTGAAAAGTCTTGATGTTGTGGAGGGCATTCTGAGCGGCCAGCGCTGCCTTCCTCGTGTAGAACGTAACGAAGCAGCAACCTGGAACAGACAGAGAGGGAGAAAAAGTCAAACGAATGCCTTCCCTTCTTCTTTTTTTTATCCGGAGCCTCGCTCTCTCTCTCTCTCTCTCTCTCCCGTTTATTTAAAGACTTAGAGGGGGAGTCGATAGTTACGAGTTGCCAAAAGTTCCGCGACGCAGCCGCCGCCGCGAGCGTCTTTGGGCGCTGCAGGTTTTAGCCCCCCCCCCTCCCCCGCCAATCCCTCTTCCCTATTTGCCGGAAGTCTCGGTGAAAGCCTCAGGTACGAGACTTACGTACGTGGCCGCCAGCTCGTCGGCGGCGGAGTAACTTCCTGCATTTCGCGAGTGGCTTTCCTCGCGAAAAAAAGAGGGGAAAAAACTAGCGCTGCCTCGGGAGCCAATTGCGTCCGCGTGCGCACTGCAGTCTGATTAACTTTCGTGCGGGCGCGCGCTTCTTGCCGACTCGCGATTGCGAGGCAAAAAAAATCCTGTCGAGCTCGCGATTGAAAGCGAGCGAGCGATTCGACCGGCACAAGACGACGGAAGAGAAACATCGCTTATCAGGGGCCGCTGGGCACGACGTTGGTTAGGCGTAACAGCCAAGAGGAGTGATAACGAAAATTTACGCAGTCCCGCCTGCTCGTCGTTCAACTCTTTCGCGCGCGCGCCTCGACAGCTGGCATTGAGCCGGGAAATTCAGCTGAGAACCGGACGCTACTCTCTCCATCTCTCGCTCTCGCGAAATGTTTAAATCATCGCTTGGCGCTTGTAACAGTCGTGTCCTACAAACGGCCAGCCGTTTCTCATCTCTCTCTCGCTCTCTATGATGCGCCGCTAACATATCCGCGTGATATCGGGCTTGTTTGACAGATTTGCCAGTGTCGCGAGCTCGTCGTGTGCTCTGCGTCACGACGCATTAACTGCGCTATGGGATGCGTGACGCTGCGTCGCGCGGGTGCTCGTAACCGGCCGATCGATAACTCAGCCGAAAATATACGTCACGTTTCCGACGCGAGCGCGCGAGAACGTGACTTTGATGCGTACCGAAGGACACCGATGCCGAAGGAACATTCGTACTCCTCGGGCGACGACGCCCAGGCAACGAATGCATCGGTATGTCGATGATCGCGAGGGCCACGGAGTACCGCAACACGGCAATGTCCATAGGAGTTTGCATATCAGAAAATTAACAAATGTAAATGAAAACGGTGCTCAAAGTCCATCGACGTGCGAGCGATGTGCACCAACGATTCCCGTTTGTCCGAGCTCACGATGACGAAAGAACAATCGCAGCGCTGGACATCGAGAACCGATCGGTGGCGCCGCGCTCATGGGGGGCCCAGCTGTCCGCTCTCGCGGACCATTAACTCGATGAACGTAAAATTAATTTAATTTACGTTGTCGCCGCGCTCGCTGGCGTCTGCAAAAACCTTGACGCCTGCCTCGGAGCGCGCCATTAGGGATTCCCAGTTCGCACGGTAATTATCGTTAATTGGACTCTCGCGTGCGCCGCGCCAATTGGACGTCGATGCGCGAATTAATGCACGCTCGGTGCTTTTCCGGCGAGCGGCCCTCGGGCAAGCTGACTTTGTGCTCGGCGCGGACGGAGGCCGAGCATGGCGCCCAAAAAATTAACGGAGCACCGACACACGGACCATGCGCGCTCGGGCGCGGATACGAGAGCCGATCGAGCAGCGAGCGAAGTCGACGGACACGCCGACGACTACCGCTCGATTTAGTCGAGCGATTAACAACCCTCGCTGTCGGTTGACGAGCGGCGAGATAGATATCGATAAGGCGAGTTGCGCGGAGACGTCGCTCATCGAAAGCAAACTGCAAATCGAGAGGAATTTCAACCGAAGGCCATTGCAATCTTATTGTTCCATCGCTCAACTGTACACGGTCGCATCACAAGGACTTGCCGCATTGACCGCACCGAAAAACACGAAATAGCAGTCGTTGTTCCAACCCAACCCAATGTTACCCAATGTTACGGTTGCCATAACGCCTATAAATAGCGCGAGATCGTCAGAGAACGGTGGCGGCAACGCAAACGGGCTAGTGTGCACGCGAGCCTCACAGAACGGCTAATCAGAGTAGCCGACAGTGGCGGGAGCAGCAGCACCAGTACCAGCAGCTGCTCGGGGATGGAGGCGGGACGGGCCGAGTCTGGTAATCTTGAGGGTGTACATACGCGTAATACCTGTCGGCGGTCAGCTCGCTTTGCTCAAAGGAATTGGCAAAGTCGGCGCCGGCGCTGCGATATCACTGGGTCGGACGAGTGTTCTGCAGGGACTACACGTTTGCCCGCTGCACGCAATACCCGCGGGTCCGCGCTCCGATGCGTGATTAGAGTCCGCGGGGAAATCTAGCGGCGGGCCTCTCTCGAACCCCGCGAATGGTTGGATGTGTGTGTGTGAGTGCATCATCTCTTTCTCCTACGCAGATTTCCCGATAAGTCTCTCTTTCTCTCCCGAAGTACGCGCGGCGATCGGCTAAACGACTGTACCGTCATGTTTTTCCATGGCTACCTTGTACCCCGCAGCCACTGATTTCTGCTTTTGCTCCGCTCTTCCTCTGTTCTGCTTCCTCGTCTCGGCCGTGAGTGGGGGGAGGGCATACCGCAGCTTATACGGCAACAAATCTCCCGCTGCAATTCTTCCGATGGGATTTTATATATACGATCGCGATAACATCCATTTTGAGGTAGCATCGATATTTCTCAAATAGAGCGCGCGATCAACTTTTACAATTCGCTCGCGTTGACTCATCCGGTAAACTCTGTCAATGCCTTCAATTTGAATAGCGCATTAAATCCGGCGCTCGGTCGCGATAGTTGATGGCCGAGGCTCGGCGAATCTCAGCCGCGGCGAGAAGTTGGAAAACGCTGGAAAACCGCTTTTCCGCTCCGAGTAACTATCAGAACGCATCGAGACGCGGGCCGGGCCGGGCAAAGTTTGCCCCGAAGCCGGAATATTTCTAGCGTATCCCCGAGCAGCGGGAGCGAGTTTAGTTTGGAACTTGGATGATTTTGCCGCGGCGGTGGCGCAGATATGTGGGCCAACGACACGCGTTGACGCGCCAACTCTCCTGCGGCTTTCGAGTGCGGCGAGCTTTTGATCGAGCGTCGTAATTTTCTTGATTAGCTCGACAAAACAGCCGTGCCACGGGCGACCCGCAGCGCCGCGCCACTTTTGAGCCACCTTACCCTGCTCGTCCGCGTAATTCTAGCTCAAGAGGCCGAGCTGCTGCGGCGAGCTCGTTCCGAAACTTATTTTTCTACGGTCTGCGCGCGCGCAACGTTAATCCATCTCCGACGGAGAGAAAGATCAAAGCGGTACAGGAAGGGGGACGTATAAATCCAATGCATTGGCGTTGCCGCCGCCACGCTGTTCGCCTTTTGAGGGTGGCGTGATAAAACCGAGATTGCTATCGCGAGAGCTGCAATTCTCCGAGTGGCTCTCTCGCTCTGCTCGATATACATCGAGCGAGCGAGCGAGCCGGGCGTATGTTTTCGAGATGCGGCGGCGGATGGAGGTTCTTCGTCTCGCAGGAGCGCTTTGCAGGCGCGCGCACACGTCAAGGTGTACGTACACGCGAAGGCGAAACTTCGACGAAAGTTAGCCCGGCGCCGAGCGCCACGGGGAATATCTCTTTACAACTCGATTACCAAACGCATCTATTACCCCTAGCCCCTCCCCTTCCACCGCCCTACCCGGCCACCGCCCTACGACTAGCTCGCCTCCAGCACCGGCAGCAGCTTGCCTTTTACCCGCGACGCGCAGCGGCTTTTCAATTCTGTTGCGATATTATGCTACGCGATGCACTCGGCTCCGCAGGTCGACGGCGAAACTATCTGCGCTTCGCGGACGAGTGCCGCCGCGTCGTCGCGTTATTTGCGGCGACGTGTCATGGGCAATTGCCTCGGGACGAGATCAGAGGCGAATTCGTTGAACTAGCTGTTGCACGCTCAACGGGCAATTTGCACTGATCGTTTGATCGGTGAATAAGCGATTGTTTAGAGATGCAGTCGCACGATTAGATTCGTGGGGGAAGCGCGGGCCGCTCTGCCATCGGAGCAAAGGCGATCGGGTCGCCGGCGGTTATCGCGGGTATATAGCTACTGCACCGGACGAGAATGGGCTGCCTATAAAGGCGCCGCTGCCGCGCGGTCTGGAAGACAGGCGGCGATTGATCGGCGTAAACGAGACTTTTTAGATGAGAGACGGCAGCCAGCACGCGAAGGCCTTGGTCCAGCCCCAGCCCATTTTCTACGGCTTCGGTTGGGCGAAAAACAGAAGGAGCTCGGGCGCGCTCTTGCGTTCGCTCGGCAGGACAGCACGCGGCAACGTTCTTTCGAACTAGCGAGGCAACGTCAAACGTATCGTATCCCGCTTGTCGATTCGAGCCGAAAAACTCTGCCAATTAATGGCAAATAATTGTTTTCCGCTCTAGTTGCGCGCACAAAGCTCGGCTCGATTCAAATGTTCAAGTTTAATTAACTTTTTGCCGAGCCGCTCGCGGGCGGCGACGGAACAAATTATGCGCAATGACATCAAAAGGGCCAACCGTCCGACTGACGATTAAGCTCCGGGGGCTATTCAAAATTATGACAAAAGCCGCGTCCCGATCGATCGGCGCTTTCATCGGATTATTGCCGGCCTTCTTTTCTGCCCGCTCGCGACGACGACAAGCGCAATAATCGCGATCCTTGGAAAGCCGCGGCGTAATTCGCCGATGGCAAATAAATTCTTAGGCTTCCGATGAATTCCGCGTTGGTTCGGAGCCACGCGTCATTGTGAAAGATCTTCCGGTTTCGTTAGCCGATTGCGCTTTTACGCGGAATTGCAATTTTTGCCGACGAGCGAGACGTTGCGGCCGGAAATCGCTTGGAACACAGACCCCCTTCGATCGATGCCCTCGTTCTGTCTTTTTCTCAAGGGGTCGCGCTTTTATAAAAATCCGTAATTACGGCGCGGGAAGTACACTTTTTTTTGAGCATCGCCGTGCATAACTGTCG